AAAGTATCCCCGCGAGAAGCCACAGTTTTTAAGAATTTATATGTTGTGGATTAAGTGAATTGTTAAATCGATGACTAGATCGCAGACTGATCCACAAAGTTCGTCCTGTCGGATGTGAGACCACAAAATTAGACGGTTTAGATAAGATTCCGCAAACTTTATCCCTATAAAAACGGGCAAGCGCTTTTTCCATCGTCACATGGGATACCATCAACAAAGTGATATGAATAGAAAGTTGAAAGTTGTCTGATTGTTCACAAACTGGTTATTCGGTGTTCGTGTACAGTGTCAAATTCCCGTTTTCGGACCACGCCCGGCCTCGTCATTTAACTAAAGCGTAACAATGGTTCATAATTTATCGAGTAATTGACAGGCATCGGCTGGTACGTCCCACTGAAACAGCTGTTTCCAGATCGCTTGTATAACTCTTGTACAACGCCGATGTAGATCCGGTATCCGCCGGCCGGAACTCACTGGCCTGGAAAACATTCGGAAGTCACGGACCAAATCAGAATGTGCAGTCACCCCTTATTCCAGGTCACTGGAAGCAACCGGTCAAGCAAAGTGCATAGCTGCATACTGCCGGTCAGCTGCGCTGTTCTCCTCTGACCTAATGTCCCGATATTAGGATGAGAAAGAGCCGTTACTTTTCGTTACGAAAACCCATCGGGAACCGTGTTCACTGCATCATATCGGTGGAAAATTATATGAGGTGTTAGATTCAGCCGCACTAGCGATAAATTGTTGGCATCCGCGAATCACACACAGTGATGGAACGGAACGTGTTAGAATTTTAAACCTCAGTTGAGAAAATGGTGTCTTAGAGAGGCGTACAAACTCAGAGATCCCAAAGCGGAGCTTTGAACAGCGTTTCTATCTGATAGTGTATGTGTGCGTTTTAAATCATCGGGCCAAGGTGAACCATCGAGCCAAATTTTCGAAACATCGTTCATCCGTTTGCACACGAAGCCATATGGCTCGCTCCTACTAAAATGTTGGCATAGGATGTGCAACAATTGAGGCGTTGAAACTGAAAATGCACTAGGCTGCTAAACACTCTTCGACAACCCAGGACCCGTTTCGTCCTTCTTGTAGCTCATCAGTAGTTGCAGTTGCCGAGTTTCCGTCAACTTCACGTTCTGCTTGAACCCGAATTAACAAAATTCGTCAACTTCACGTTCTGCTTGAACCCGAATTGAACAAAATTCGACAAATACACTCAGCTCAGTAAGAACATCATGAACGAGAGACCGAAGTGAGATCCAAGCAAGATTCCCGTAGAAACGAGATCTCTCTGTAATGTACTACTCATAAGGTTGCGGAGAATCAATCAACAGCCCACAACCAGTTCCGCCCTTTTTGGGGCTCATCAGATAGGCGCAGTCCCCAGGTTTCCGTCAACCTTATGTTCTACTTGAAACCAACTTGCACGAAATTAGCGAATATATACTCATTTGCAAACTAATTTGATTTTTCGAGAGACCCACCGGGAACCCAGCTGAATCTCCCGTTTGTGATGTTCTCATGCAACTGAATGTGTTGCACCAGGACGCCTCATGTTTCAGTCGCTACGATATTCGAGATATCGTGATACATGTATACCTTTGTAATGCAGTACTCATAAGGTTGCTGAAAACCCGTCGACAGCTCACGGCCGGTTTCGCTCTTTTTGGGGCTCATTTTTCGGGCTCTTTTGGAGGGGCCTTTTTCTGTCGTGAGAATAAGATTCATTCTGATGAAACCTCATGCAAAAATGACTGCCGAAGTCGCATCTAATTGCAAGTTCATCTGATTATCATCGATTTAACCTTATTTAATTAAACACCAGGTTGAACAGATGAGAAAATAAAATCCCATTCGTAAATCAAAATGAGGCATAAGACGAGACCAATTTGAACTGCCTGCTTGAAGGGGTGCAAAAAGGGCGAGATCCGTGATGCTCCCTCTAAAATTATTTGTCACAAACAAGAACACTACTAATAACCATTCAGCAATAACACGCTTTTGGTGTCTGGCTACCATGCCACCATAGAGAAGCACGAGGCTAGGTTGCCTCTGAGTTTGGATTCGAACCCTGGCCTTGCAACCAGTAAGTTTGAGCAGCAAACACTGAATTGTCATTTACCCATATTCATCGCTAATCGCCCACAATAGGGCATACTGTAACATCTTGAAAGTCGCTCTAACTGAAATATGAAGTGACTTTTGCGTAGCAGCCGAATAGAATCATAATCAATGGTCCCTCGGGTTATCCTATGAAGTTTTCCTCATCTGTAAACAAGTCTTGTTTCATTCAGTTTCAAATATGCAGGCTATCATTCCGGTTTTTCTTTTCTTCTACATAAACCAATCCTGTAGACTGAAACATTCTAGCAACTAATCGTGCGCTGACCCCCGGCGTTTCAACCAAGCTTACCCCTAATAAGGCTAATACGCTCCTACTGAAATTAAGCTTTCGGAATAGCACTCAGTTGAGATTCTTAGGATTCCAGATAAACCCTGAAAATCTATAAAGCGGCCAAATTCCGCCATAGAGTTTTGTCATGGGGACTAACATCATGACATCTGGAGACGACACACACGCATCTGCTACAAGGTGGTAAGCTGTGTCTTGAAGTAGCAACAAGTACTGACATAGTCGTCAAACATCTCAGAGGCAGTATTGATTCGCCTTATTTTCCAAAGTTTTTGTCTAACTCGCAAAAAAGTTTTCTCCTCTACACAAAACTTTCCTGACTGTTGCCCTAGGCACCTATTCTAACAAGCATGATTCTGGGAATCGAGTCATGGTGAATAACTTCTGATTGGACAGTTCCATGCATGGGAATAATAGGATGCGATGTCAGTAGTATCGCTTACACGTGGGAGATT